CCCACATTCCAGAGGGAGCCTCAATTATTTGGTCTGCATCCATCTAGACCTCTTTCTGTGCATTTACAAGTGTACCTATATGGATGTTTAATGTTTTTATTTTATTTGCTTTTCATGTTTCAATTTTCGAATAAATAAATTTTCATGGTTAAGACATCAAAACCTCTAGGGAAATCCCATGGGAAAATTATCCATCCCCTTCATCCCTGTACCCCATTCATTAAGTTCTCATCCCCTCAATAAGTACCATCTGTTATGAACTTCTTGTTTACTCCAGGGAATTTTTATGCATGTGCAATCCACTACAAATTTATTTTCTGCTTCTGCTGCTGCTGCTGCTGCTGCTCCTTCTCCTTCTCCTCCTCCTCCTTCTTCCTTTTTTTGAGATGGAGTTTCACTCTTGTTGTCAAGGTTGGAGTGCAGTGGCATGATCTCGGCTCACTGCAACCTCTGCCTCCCGAGTTCAAGTGATTCTCCTGCCTCAGGCTCCCGAGTAGCTGGGATTACAAGTGTCTGCCATCACACCTGGCTAATTTTTTTGTATTTTTAGTAGAGATGGGGTTTCACCATGTTGACCAGGCTGGTCTGCAACTCCTGACCTCAGGTGATTCACTCGCCTCAGCCTCCTGAAGTGCTAGGATTACAGGCGTGAGCCACCTCACCCCGCATGCTTTTTCTTCTTAACAGTAATATTTGGCTATTATTCCATATTGGTCTGGATTTGTTTAACCATTTTACTGTTTTTTTGTTTTAAGGGGGGAGTCTAGCTGTGTTGCCCAGGCTGGTCTCGATCTCCTGGGCTCAAGCAATCCTCCCACCTCAACCTCTTGAGAGCTGGGATTACATGCATGAGCTGCTGCACCTGACTTAACCATTTCTCTCTTGATGGGCATTGAGGTTGCTTCCAGTTTTTTCCCATTACAAACTCTGCTGTGACTACAACTTTGTGCATCTGTGCCAGTATTTCTTTTCTTCTTCTTTAAAAAAATTTTTTTATTATTATTTTTAATTTTTTTTTCAAGATGGAATCTTGCTCTGTCACCCAGGCTGAAGTGCAGTGGCACAATCTCAGCTCACTGCAACCTCTGCCTCCCAAGTTCAACCAATTCTCCTGCCTCAGCCTCCCAAGAAGCTGGGGTTACAGGCATGCATCACCACACCTAGCTAATTTCTGTATTTTTAGTTGAGATGGGGTTTTACCATGTTGGCCAGGCTGATCTTGAACTCCTGACCTTGTGACCCACCTGCTTTGGCCTCCCAAAGTGCTGAGATTACAGGCATGAGCCACTGCACCTGGCCTATGACAGTATTTCTTTAGTTATATTCCTAGAAGTGCAAGTGTTAGGTCAAGCAGCAAAGACCTGCCAAATTGCCTTCCAAAAAGGCTCTACCAGTTTACACCACCACTGACAGTGGCTGGGTGTGCCCAGCATCTTTGCCAGCATTAGATACTATAAGTGTTTTACATTTTTGCCAACCTAATGTGTAGAAAAGGATGTCTTGACCAGGCGCAGTGACTCACTCCTGTAATCCCAGCACTTTGGGAGGCCGAGGTGGGTGGATCACCTGAAGTCAGGAGTTCAAGACCAACCTGTCCAACATGGTGAAACCCCATCTCTGCTAAAAATACAAAATTAACCAGCATGGTGACGCGTGCCTGTAATCCCAGCTACTCAAGATGTTGAGGCAGGAGAATCACTTGAACCAAGGAGGCAGAGGTTGCAGTGAGCCGAGATCATGCCATTGCACTCCAGCCTGGGCAAAAAGAGTGAAACTCCATCTCAAAAAAAAAAGAAAAGAAAAAAGAAAAGGATGTCTTGTTTTAATTTCTATTTTCCAACTGATTAATAAGACTGGGCATCTTTTCATATGCTTATTTGTTTTGTCTGTTGCCTGTTCACATCTGATGCCCATTTCTCTTTTTGGGCAGGCTTTTTTTTGCTGATGTCATTCATGTATGCATTGAACAAATCTTAACTGGAGGCCTACTGTGTACCAGAAATTGTTCTAGGTTTTCAAGAATACAACAGTGAGTGTGACAGAGCCCCTTCCATCATGTGGGTCACATTCTGGAAGCAGGGGACCAATAAAAGTACACAAGTACCTGAGTGCAGTGGCTCACACCTGTAATCCCAGCACTTTGGAAGGCCAACGTGAGAATAGTTTGAGTCCAGCCGTTCAAGACCAGCCTGGGCAACATAGCGAGACCCCACCTTTATGACAAATTCCAAAAATGAGCTGGGCATGGTGGTGTGTGCCTGTAGTTGTAGCTACTTGGGAGGCTAAGGCAAGAGGATCCCCTGAGCCTGGGAGTTTGAGGCTGCAGTGAGCTGTTATCTCATTACCACACTCCAACCTGGATAACAGAGGAAGACCCTGTCGAAAAACAAAACACACATACACATACATCAAGAGAGTTGTCTGATGGTGCTAAGCACTATGAAGACAAAGGAAACAGGATGGAGGGAAATTCTTTGATTGTTAAATAAACTAGTTCCTTGCTCTAATATATATCAATTTTTACAGTTTTTCATTTGCCTTCTAACTCTATGAAATTTTGGTTGATGCAGAAGTATTTTTTTAATTTTTTTTTATTTTACTTTAAGTTCTAGGGTACATGTGCACAACGTGCAGGTTTGTTACATATGTATACATGTGCCATGTTGGTGTGCTGCACTCATTAACTCGTCATTTACATTAGGTATATCTCCTAATGCTATCCCTCCCCCCTCCCCCCACCCCACAACAGGCCCCGGTGTGTGATGTTCCCCTTCCTGTGTCCAAGTGTTCTCATTGTTCAATTCCCACCTATGAGTGAGAATGTGCAGTGTTTGGTTTTCTGTCCTTGCAATAGTTTGCTCAGAATGATGGTTTCCAGCTTCACCCATGTCCCTACAAAGGACATGGATTCATCCTTTTTTATGGCTGCATAGTATTCCATGGTGTATATGTGCCACATTTTCTTAATCCAGTCTATCATTGATGGACATTTGGGTTAGTTCCAAGTCTTTGCTATTGTGGACAGTGCCACAATAAACATACATGTGCATGTGTCTTTATAGCAGCATGATTTATAATCCTTTGGGTATATACCCAGTAATGGGATGGCTGGGTCAAATGGTATTTCTAGTTCTAGATCGATCCTTGAGGAATTGCCACACTGTCTTCCACAATGGTTGAACTAGTTTACACTCCCACCAACAGTGTAAAAGTGTTCCTATTTCCCCACATCCTCTCCAGCGTCTGTTGTTTCCTGACTTTTTAATGATTGCCATTCTAACTGGTGTGAGATGGTATCACATTGTGGTTTTGATTTGCATTTCTCTGATGACCAGTCATGGTGAGCATTTTTTCATATGTCTATTGGCTGATGCAGAAGTATTTTTATGTGATCAAATTTATAAATCTTTCCGTTTATGTTTTTTTATGCTTGGAAAGATTTTTCTCCATGCCAGCATTATAAAAGCATTTGCCCAGGTTTTCTTTTAGTGCCTTATGGATTTTCTTACTTTGTTTAAGTCTTTAATCCATCTGGAATTGTTTTCAGTACAAACAGCAAGGAAAAGATCCAGCTAAATTGGTTAGCCATTGGCCCATGACCATTCATTAAATAATCCATCTTTCCCTTGGGGATTTGCATTGGCATCTATGAAACACATGAATTTTCTTGTGTATTTGGGTCTGATTTTGCACTTTCTGTCTATCCCTATGACATAGCAGCCATCCAAATCACTATAGCTTTGTATTTATTTTTGATAATTTTTTACTATCAAATGTTTTTTCAGCCTGTAATCCCAGCACTTTGGGAGGCCAAGGTGGGCAGATCACCTGAGGTTAGGAGTTTGAGAACAGCCTGACCAACATGGTGAAACCCCATCTCTACTAAAAATACAAAAAAATAAATAAATAAGTAAAAATAGCCAGGCATGGTGGCAGGTGCCTGTAGTCTCAGCTACTGGGGAGGCCAAGGCACGAGAATCACTTGAACCTGGGAGGTGGAGGTTGCAGTGAGCTGAGACTGCCCACTGAACTCCAGCCCAGACGACACAGTGCCCAGGCTGATTTGCTCATCCATCTACAAAAAAAAAAAAAAAAAAAAAAAATCGGCTAGGTATGGTTGCTCACGCCTGTAATCCCAAGCACTTTGAGAGGCCAAGGTGGGTGGATCACCTGAGGTCAGGAGTTCAAGACCAGCCTGGCCAATATGGTGAA